GTCCTATAACTATAGGTTGGTTTGTCGGTGAGGATCTGCTAGCCTGTAGATACCTTACCAATGATGATGAGGTTGCTTGGTTTATTTTGTACTGGAAATTGAGGAAATGGGTTGTAAAAGAGACTATCACATCAGAAAAAGCATAACATTGCAAATAATACCCAGTTATTTTGAACCTGCATTCTGAACTTACTATGTCCTTTGAACAGTATCCCTCTTGCAAGAGACATCTTTGCATCATTTAAACCTTTACCCTTTAAATTCTGTCTTCTATTCAAAACTTTTTTTTCTCATCAGGAGAGAAAAGAATGGGGTTCCAGAAGAAGCTTGGATCTAGGAAATAGACCAGGGCATTAGCCCAGAGATGATATAAAAGAGTTCTCTTTCAGAGCAGCTATCTACCAGCCAACTCATAGCACATTTAGATTTAGCTAGTTCATTTAATAGACATAATTTCAGGAGCATCAAAATAGCACTGAAAAAATCTGATGTTCAAGCATATTCCAAATACAATCCTTCCCTCAGGGACTTCAGTGCCTGTGTTGGGTCCCAAGTGTTCTCTGTGGATCATCGGGAATGTTTGTGTTTCCTTATTCCCCACTGGTCAGATTCTTGCTGGGTTCCGAATACCAGAAATGGAAACTGGGCCAAGGATGCTACTTTTACGAAACATGTGAATCAAGTGAGCCAAACTTAGCTCCAATAGACAGAACCAAAACTTTAAGGTGTAAATAATCCACATATCTGTTCCATTACAATAATCCTGTGATATAATTAGTTCAAATATTATTATCCCTATTTTACAAATCAGAAACAGTCAGTGAATCAGTAAACATTTATTAAGTGCCTACTATGTGTCAGGCAATGTGCTAAGCACTAAGGATACAAGGGGGGGGAAGGGCAAAAGAATCTCTGCTCTCACACAGCTCACTGTCTGATTGGGGAGACAACACACAAACAATTATGTGCAAACTAACTATTTATAGGATCAACTGGAGATAATCAGCAGAAAGGAAGCACCAGCATTGAGGGAGGGTCAAGAAAGACTTTTTGTAGAAAGTGGAATTTTTAGTTGAAGGAAGACAAGGAAGCTAGGAGGTAGAGATGAGGAGGGAGAGTCTTCCAAACATAAGGGGAAGCCAATGAAAAATGTCCAGAAACTGGAGATAGAGTGTCTTGTGTGCATGTGTAAGGAACAGTTAGGAGATGGCTGTCACTGAATCATAATGGGTGCAGATTGGGCAGGGGAGCGATTGGGGGGAAAGGAGAAAGAGGAAGTAAAGTGTAAGAAGATTGGAAAGGTAGGTGGAGCCCTGATTGTGAATGGCTTGGAATGGCAAACAGAATGTTTTTTATTTGATACTGGAGGTGAGAGGTAGCCAGTGGACTTTATTTAATAGGGGGCAGGGTGATGACATGGTCTTGTGCTTTAGGAAAATCAATTTGACAGCTGAGTGGAGGAAGGACTGGAGTGGGGAGAGCCTTGAGGCAAAGCGACCTATAGTCTGTTGAAATAGTCCAGGCATGAAGTAATAGGGGCCTACACCAGGGTGGTGCCTATGTTAGAGGAGAGAAACTGAGGCTGAAAGAGAACTTTATATTACTTTGATTTTTTTTCAGTTTATAAAAATCTATTTTCTCTCCTGCTTGCTTACCTCTCCCCACCACTAGACAAGAAAAGAGAAAAACAAAGTCCTTGTAATACATTGTCAAGCAAAACAAACTTAAGGAAGATTTTATTAAAATCAAACAGTGTCAGAGATGGGACTGGAATCCAGGTCTGATTGTCAATCCAGCATGCCTTCTACCATACCATACTGTGTACACAAATGTACTTTAGGTCTTTTTGTGGGAGTTTTCCTTAATATTGATTAACCCACTCACTGGCTTGGTATTTGACACAATCAGTTGCACCCACCTCCTTGCCTTCAAGAGAGCCAGTTATTTGGAATTGAATAATAAATAATACATAAATAATACAAAATAAATAAATAATAAATAAAATATAGATGGTTAACACTTATTCAGATGTCTTAGTATTATTGTAGAGGATAAGACACCACAGGCTATGTGTCTTCAGAGGGCAAAAGTGAATGAGAAATAATTTAATCTGTGGGGATGGAAAGCTCTTTTTTTTTAAAGTTTCATTTGGTGGAATTAAAGTCTGAAATATGACCTATTAACACCTTCCTGACCATTCAGGCTTAGCACAGATCTGTGCCCTTCTTCTCTGGCACATATAGGTTGTGTCAGAGGAAAAGAAAGCCTTAAAAAGTTGCAGAAAGCACTGATGTGGGCAGTTTCTCCAAGTGAATCCTCACTTTGCTACACTCAGAGGTATATTGGATGAGTGGCCATCAGACCCATTCTAATTATGTTTCGCTCAGGGCAGACTAAAGGGGATTGGGACCTATGCCACACAGAAAAAGGAAATGGAGACACAGGGTACAGAATGGAACTGTTTATACTGACAAATCTCATTGTGGAAAAAAAAAAACAAAACAGATGTACCTGCTAGTGACTCATTGTGTCTCCTTTGTTTTTCTGATCATTTTGTATACTTCTGCATTGTTGATATTATGATACCCTCCCTCAGGCTTATCTGTCCAGAGAGAAGGCAAAACAGTGTCTGGTCTTTCTTTCCTACTAAAGATGCACTTAGCACAGTGTCTGACATATAGGAAGCACCTAAAAATGCCTGTGCCCACATGTTCCCTTGTCTGGCTAGGACATTACCCCAAGATTTTGGGTTGGTTTCTGCCTGTGTCACTTTTCTAGTACAGTCAGTGTACTATTTTATTCTAAACCTCATATAAGTCCACCTGCAGAGCACCACTTTGCAAAGACATCTGTTATTGGGTCCTGCCTGGGGATTCAGTTCTGGATGAGTGTATTGGATGCAAGAAAGTCATCTGTCCCTTAAAAACAAATCGGGATGTAGCTTGCTGAGCCTACTTACATCTAGTGTATGACTACTTCTGAACTACTTTTGAAAGAAAGAAGTATCTGGTTGTAGTAGATACAGCCTCAAGGATGTCAGTCATAGACCTGTTCCTCCTAAGGGGGAAAAATACTAAGGATGGAAATTTTCACACTTGTAAGTCACTGTAAGTGAATAACTAAGACTCCTGATTGAAAATAGTCTTAAAGAATGAACCCAGAATCAAGGTTTTTGAATCACTACTAGTGGATTTATGTGATATTAAATTGTAGCTGAGGGAAGCTGGGTGGTGCAGTTGGTAGTTTGCCAGGCTTGAAGCCAGGAAGACTCATCTTCCTCTGTTCAAATCTGGCCTCAGATACTTACTAGCTGTGTGATCTTGGGCAAGTCACTTAACCTTGTTTGCCTCAGTTTCCTCATCTGTAAAATGAGATAGAAAAGGAAATGGCAAATCACTTCAGTATCTTTGCCAAGAAAACCCCAAATGGGGTCAGGAAGAGTCAGACACAACTGAAGAAATGACTAACACAAGTTGTAGCTGGTATGTGTGTATGTGTGTGTGCTTGTGTGGGTGTGAGAGAGAAGAGAAGAGAAGGAAGAGGACGAGGAGAAATAGGAATAGGAGGAGGAAGCTGTGTTAGCTGGCATAAGGAGTTTGTTTTTCGTGATGATTTTTCAGTTGACATGAGCCATTCTCACCCTCTAGACTCTAGGTACTGATGAGATTGTCACTGCTATACAGCTACCCATCCCAGTAGCCTTGTTCATAGAAACATGGGACTTCACAGTAGATCCAGAATGAACCTTAAGAATCATTGAATCCATCCCTACCGCTGGCCTTAACCTATCCACTAAGATGGAGCATAAATCTAGTTCAGATTTCTTCCCTATAGTACATTTTTAATACAGTGCTTCATTGGCCCCATTTCTAACCTAAGTTTGCCCCATTTTTAAAAATGATATATGAAAATAAAATATAGGGAGTAATCATATTCTCCAAAGTAGGGAATAAATTATTTTAAATACATCACATTGCATTATTAATACATTAAGAGAGCTCATTATTTCAAGGAGGTACATGGTAGATCCTTCTATAAAATGCAAACTTTTTGTAATAAAAACATACATTACATAAAATTAGGCACATCTGTATTTCAGAATGGTCCTTCTTTCCAGAAGCCAGAAAAGACACACTCTATTCTTCAATAGCTTTTCTCCCATTGTTAGCTAAAAGGTAACTCTAGTTGATTTAATTAATTATTAATTGCAATTATTTCTCAATTAGTATGCTTTCTGAAATCATGGAGTAAGGGAAAATCAATTATCATTTCTCTCTAAAAATAAAGAGAAATAATTGTTGGTGAAGGCTAGAGGCAGGGGTTTCTAACTCATGTTGCTTATTCTTTAATGATACAACCAAGTAAATATTCTTCAAAAGAGAGATAATTCTCTGAGCACTTTTGAGAAAAGCCAGGTAGTCAATCTGGCT